GCTGATTCAGCAGCAGACGGCCTTTCTGGTCCGAGAATGACCAGGGGCTGTGTTTTACTTGGTACGGCTACTTGGTTCTTCAGGCAAACTCCCCATCCTAGACCCCCAGAGAAAATATTTTTTTGTGCATCTTTTCCTTGCTTCCTTTCTCTCCTAAAATGCCTCTTGTTATTCATTCACTGAACAACCACCGAAATCTATGACAAGTTTAAAAGAGAATATATTATTCAACCAATAAATCTTATGGAATATGGTAAGAATATGTGCTAGGCACTCTCCTAACCACTGAAAACACAGCAGGGAAGGAAAGGGCAAAAAAATCCATGTCTTCGGGAATTTTACAATCCTGCCCCATCTTCTCACGAGGCTGGATGATTGGGACAGCTTCAAGGTCTTCTTTGCTTTCCAGAATCTAGGTAATGGCTGAATGTGACAAGTCGAAGGAGACAGAAGAGCCATGTGAATTACAGGAGAAAGAGGCGAGGGTAAGGACAAGAGAAGGGTAAGGAACGCAAAACAGTTGGCATGGTTAGGGGTTTGGAGATTTTAGGAGGTTTTAGGGAGCTTCCACAATAGGAAAAACCTTTTGGCAGTGGGCTATGGGAACAGCAGTGGGGAGAAGAAAGTTAATTTCAAGTTTTGCTCTGAGAACGGATTACCTCTGTGCTCTGTGATTTTTTTTTTAAAGGGACTTAAGTAAATGCAGTTCTAAAGTTGTTCTGTTTTGAAAGAAAAGCATCAATCAGTCAGCAAATATTTATTGAGTGCCTGCTATGTTCCAGGTAAAAGATAGATGCAGGCTTTGCCTTATTGGGCTTGTTGTTCTGAGGGAAAGACAGACAGAGCATGTCAGAGGTACACATGAGAGGGATGAAACTTCACTGGAGAAGAGAGAGAGACATCTTTGCTGGGCAAGTGAGATTTAGGCTGAGCCCTGAGGGACTGGGAGTTTGTCAGGCAAAGAGAAGGGGATGCTGTACATGGATAGTTTCAGACAGAAGTAAGAGCTTCTGAGAGGCTTCATGGAAGGAAAGAATGTAGTGGACTTGGCCAAAGCTGCCCCATCAAAAGAAATACTGCTAGAAACTTCCCCACCAGACTCTTCTCAAGACCCAGTTTCCAGAAAGCAAGTAAAATCCAGTGTTCTCAGGGGAGTTTCTGCAGGGTGGACGTGCATCCGTCTCACTCACCTGCTCTGCTCCTTCCTCTATGGCTGCCAACATTGCCAAGGAGGTCAGAGTTGAGGTCATGCTGCTGGGGCCTTGGGCAGTCGAGTAAGATTGCTTTTTAGACTGGCTGTCTGGCTGTCAGAACTGGGGTTTCTTTGTATAGGGATCTGCACTACGGTGGCTTCCAGGCCAAAGCAGGCCAGCCAGGCTTTAGAGAAGCTGCATTCATTAGGCACCTACTAGGCACCCAGTTCTGTGCTGAGTACTAGGAAACAGAAGTGAATAGCAGATATGGTTCAGTTCTTGCCAATGTCAAGGAAAAAGGCACTCACAGCATCTTCATGTCCTAGAAGCTACGACAGTATTGGTTTATAGTTTGCTCCCAGAGTCCCTCAGGGAGATCAAAGAGACGTAAGTTGGAAATATGGGCTATACCAAGTAATAGCTATGTGACTTAGGCAAGTTAATTCTCCTGCATCTAACACTGTCTCATCTGTAAAATGAGGATTATGACACCCATCTCAAAGGGCTTGTAGTGAGGATTAGAGGTCACCTGTGTGTCACCATCCTGATGAATAAAGCAGAACGGGATAGGGTGCAAGAAAGAAGCCTAATTCTTTTCTCCGCTGTCCACTGATGAAGCTGGGGTGAGCTGAAGCTTTCTCTGCCCCTGGGTAAAATCTTAAACAACTTCCATCATTTTACTGGCCGTTCCCGGGTAATACAACATCCTGCACTCATTTTACCTCACAGAATAGTTCCGTCTCAGTAATTAAAATGTCTCCTCTTAAGTAATGGTTAAAACTCTGGGTTTCATTTAAAGTGAAAGCTTCTTTCAAACAAACCCACTGTAAAAAAGACACATATGAAATAACTGGAGAAATATGAACAGACTGAACAGTAGATGAAATTAAGGAATTCTTGTTAAATGTGTAATAGTAAATATGGTATGTGGAGATCTGTGTTGAATTACTGAAGATGAAATAACATGATGTATAAAATTTGCTTTTCAATAACTGGTGGCTTGTGGGGAAAGAGCTGGGGCATAAGTGAAACAAGGATGGCCAGGTTTATTTTATTTTCTATTTTCTATTATTTCCCCTACTTTTATAAATGGTTGGAAATTTCCAGAATAAAATGTTTGAAAAAGATGTTAAAGCATCTCCTCCAGGCAACCGCATACGACTGGCGGGTTGTAAAGCACATAAGACTAGTAGGAATTGTTCATATCATAGACATTGTAGATCTATGTCTTGAAAATAACAGATCTTTGGCCAATGGCGGTGGTATGCTGCTCTAATAAAATCAGTTTATGTGGGAGACAAACTCCTGTGATGACCACACCCTGCAATTAACTCCTGCTCGTGGTATTTACACCCTTTGTGACCCTCTACTCTTGGGGCTGGACGGAGTGACTTGCTTCTAATTAATAGACTACAGTAAAAGGGATGGGATGCAACTTTGGAGATTTGATTTAAAAAGACTGTCTTCAATCTGGCTGACACTCTCTTCTCTGCTTGTCTTTCTTGCTTGTGCCTAGTTTCTACACATCTACTCAACTCATGGGAAACTCATGCGTCCTTGGCACCTGCTTCCACTGCTACCCTCTTCCATCATCCTGTGATCTTTTAAAAAAAATTGTATTGAAGCACAGTTGATTTACAATATTGTTAATTTCTGCTGTACAGCAAAGTGACTCAGTTGTACATATACATATTCTTTTTCATATCCTTTTCCATGATGGTTTATCACAGGATATCGAAGATAGTTCCCTGGGCTATACAGTAGGACCCTGTTGTTTATCCATCCTGTATACAATAGTTTGCATCTGCTAATCCCAAACTCCCAGTCCTTCCCCCTCCCACCCCTCCTCCCCCTTGGCAACCACAAGTCTGTTCTCTATGTCTGTGAATCTGTTTCTGTTTCATAGATACGTTCATTGGTGTTGTATTTTAGATTACACATATAAGTGATATCATATGGTATTCTGTCTCTTTCTGACATACTGCACTTAGTATGATAATCTCTAGGTCCATCCATGTTGCTGCAAATGGCATTATTTCATTCTTTTTAATGGCTGAGTAATACTCCACCATATACACACACACACACACACACACACACACACACACACACACACATACATATATATATATATACACCACATCTTCTTTATCCATTCATCTGTCAATGGACAGTTAGTTTGTCTCCATGTCTTGGCTATCGTAAATAGTGCTGCTGTGAACATAGGGGTGCATGTATCTTTTCGAATTATAGTTTTGTCTGGGTATATGCCCAGGAGTGGGATCGCTGGATCATATGGCAACTCTAATTTTAGTTTTTTGAGGAACCTCCATACTGTTTTCCATAGTAGCTGCACCAATTTACATTCCCACCAACAGTGTAAGAGGGTTCCCTTTTCTCTGCACCCTCTCCAGCATTTATTATTTGTAGACCTTTTAATAATGGCCATTCTGATTGGTATGAAGTGATACCTCATCGTTGTTTTGATTTGCATTTGTCTAGTAATTAGCAACAGCATCCTGTGATCTTGACAGGCTCCAGCCACAGACTGCTAATCTATACATTTTCCAGATCTGAGTCAGACTCTGGGCAACGCATAACAAACTAGAGCTATCTCCTTGAAGTTTCTCTCACAAGTTGTGGCCAGGAGTAATTGCCTCTCCCCTTCCCAAGAGGGACTGAGACTTACTTCACATTGGAATACTTCCTCCAAAAAATCCTCTGCCCATTTTCCAACTTCAACTTTTTTATACCCTGGAGGTGGGTGTTGGACCAAGGGTTACAAAATTATTTTTGCCTGGAACATTTGCAAGGCTGGCATCTTGCTTTGAAACATCAGCTGTTTGAACATATTTTACTTTATGCCTGTGGGACCTCAGCTGAAACCAAGACCCAAAGCATCCCACTTTAACATCCTCTTGTGTACATGAAACAGGGACAGAGTTTCGGTTCAATAACGTTGGTTGTTATTTTTACATTGTTGTGGGAGACTGACTGCACTGATGGACCCAATCAATGGCCTTCCGGTAGCCACACTCTTTGCCACGTGACTTTGTAGCCCCTCCCATCAGAGGATGGAGTCTATTTCCCAAGCTTTGAATTTCAGCTACCCTTGTAATTGCTTTCGATTGACTGCAACAGTAGTATTATACCTTTTCTGAGACTGGGAGCAAGAGATCCTTCATGAATTTGGCTTTTCTTTTGGAACCCTTCTGCTGCCCTGTGAACAAGCCTGTGGGTAGAGTGAGAGAGCACGTGGAGTAGAGCTGAGTCGGCCGAGCTGAGACATGTGATACCACCCGACCAAGATCAGCAAAGCCACCAAACTGTTCACAGAGATATGTGTGAACTTCACTGGGCTCAGCCCAGATGATCAGAAATGCCCAGCTGACCCGCTGACTCGTGATTAAAAGTAATTGTTTGTTATTGTATGCCACTGACGGTTGCTGATTGTTTGTTATGTGGCATTACGGTGGCAGCAGATAGCTGATACAATTGCACTGGGATAGCTAATGAAGGAGTCGTTTCTGAGCAGAGGGCCCTCTCCAGTAGCAGGTGGCAAAGCTGACGACCAGCTTGGCCTTGTCATCTGTATATATCTCTCCCAGAGGAAGACTGTTTTCCTTCCTTACACATTCTCAGATTCAGCCCAGAGAGATTCCTCCTGGGCTTGTCAAAACTTTCCAGAATTCAGTACCGCAAACAGGGCTTCCATTGGCAGATTGTTAGCGTAATTGAAATGTGGGTGGAAGCTCATTAAGCTCCCGTCTTCAACATTCTTCCTTCCAGGCCCGGAGAAGCTGTGAGTTCTGTCACATCCCATTAGCACTGTGTCTGGGTGGTTTCCACACCTTTCCGGGCGAATCAAACACACGGGGTCTGCATTTAAGGGAAAAAATACGTTTCTTCCCACGGAGAGGGGTATGTTGATGGAAATTTAAAGAAAAAGACAGCAAGAAGACCGAAAAATGCTTTGAACGTATAAGGAATCATACGGGTTGCTACTGCACATATTAAAAAAAACTAGCACTTGAAGTCTTCTCTGGATATCACCATGTTTCCTTCTATTCTTATCTCATTCTGGCCCCCTACAAAAACCTATTTTATGGAAAGCATTCTGCCACAATAGTAATAGTAATCATGTTGTGAACTTTCATTGAGTATGTTTTATTTGCCAGGCTTTGTGCTAAGAGTTTTATATAAATCACCTCATTTAAGCCTGGGCAGGAAACTCCTTGAAGTCCAAAGCGGTGCCCATTGTTTTCTGGTATATATCCGGCTCGTAGCACAATTCTTGGCATTAGATGCTCCATAAACGTTTAGTGAGCAAATGAATGAATGACAGTCTTGTGCAGTAGACCTAATTATTCCCATCATTTAGATAAAGAAATGGGAGATGGACAAGTGACCCAAGTTACTATAGCTAGTAAGCGGTGGGAGGGGCTTAAACCAGGAAAGCCATCTTCAAGGGTTGCTGGTGTGACAATGACATAAAGCAGAGAAGATGAACACATAGGAAATTACCTCATGCATAACAGGAACCCAAATGTTAGGCATCACAGAACCGAAAACAACCTGGGCTCAAATCTTTACTGCACCTCAACACTGGTGCCTTGCTTGTTTAAAGCCATGTGAAATTCAGGGTGTCATATCCCCTGCAATGGTGTTCTTGCAGCACTGGGCTAGGACTTCCAGGAAAGAAAGTGTGCGCACAGGAACTAAACAAACTCACAGTTAAATGCTTTATATCAACAAACACCATAGGCTTGAACAAATCAATCCACAACAATTAGCTTCAAAAAACTTTAACAACACGAAACCTGCCTCATATGATTGTTTTCAAGACACGATTAAGGTAAAGTTCAATAATGCCTAGCACTTGGTAAGCACTTAATAATAATAGCTCATAATAATTAAAGCTTGCTGAGCACATACCGTGTGCCAGGGCTCTGCATGCACCATCTCATTTAATGTTCTCATCAAGTCTGTACAGTAGATACTGTTAAGTGTTCCATTTTACAGTTGAGGAAACTGAGGGGCAGTGAGGTTCAGCAATG